CCTCCTCCTCAGCCGGGCGTTTAATCTCTTTCTCCGGGTGTCGCCCCCGTCCCGGTCTCCCTTTGCTTTAGCCGCAGCGTGCCTACTGTGCCAGTTTTCCTTTTTAATTATATTTTTATTACACGTTCTTGAGAAGGGGAAAAACAGGCGATCAAGGGTCTCCTCTGTTCCTTCTCTCCCGTGACGGTCGTTCTTGCAGAAACATTTTTTTTAAATTTTAACTCTTACTGAGATCTTATTCTCTCCCTTTCCCCCAGATAACCCAGCCCCTCCCCTCCTTCTTTGGCCCTTCCCCTTTTTGCTTTTCTTGGCCTTCCCTTCCTTCGATTCTTCCTCCTCTCCCCCATTTTCCTGCTTGCTTTTCCCTTCCTGCTGCCTGGTGCTGATGCGGGTAGTGGAATCGCTGGAGGGGTCTGTTGGGTGGCGCAGGGGAGCCCCGTCCCAGGTGTTTCCTCCCTGGACACAGGGGCTGTTGGATGATTCGGGGAAGGTGGGGGGGAGAGGTTTCCTCTGCTCCCTTCATCGCTGCATCAGTTCTGAAAAGTTGTTTTCCTTCCACCAAGTATGCTTTGGAGGCAACCTTGGTGGGTCCTAAAATGTTCTCCTATGAATGAAAGTTAGCAGGAATTATTCCACAATACATGTATGGGGATATTCAGTTTTTATAATTCTATGTAAGTGGCCTGGCTCTTGATTTACAGGATGCCTAGAAGTTGTTGCCTCCTACAGAAATAAGGCAGGAGCCCTCCTCAGACATTATTTTCTTGTTTCCAGTTTTTCTCAGGTGTCAAAGATGGCAAGCATTGAGTCCCCAGTCAGGGCTCACTCTTAACACCGCCCCCCCCCCCGCTTTCTTTAGGAGCAGAGGCTGAAATTCTCCAAAAGCCTTCTGGCATCTAAATAACATTTTATTGGACAAATACCCAGTGATAAGATAGAATAACAGAGCACATCCACAACTTTTCCAAAGAACATTCTTTTCTTCCATAACTCCTGACACACGTATTGTCAAAGGTACTTTTGTTCCAGAGAACTTTAGATACAGAGAAGAGAGGGACAAACTATAATAATTCTTTGGTTCATACCACGTCTGGAGGTTTTTCCTCTCAATTCTCTATCTTTCTGAAAACTTTTCTATTCACTCCATATAAATTCCTCCATTGCTCATTCACATCGACACCTTTCTGAATTTAGCCCACTCAGTGATGATTCTGTAACAGCACTAATTTCTGACAAAGTACCTGAAATACTTTTAAAAAATTAAAACTGAAGAACTCCCCAGGACTGGGCGGCTTCATGGCAGAGTATTGCGGAGACTTTGCAGGGCCACGTAGCTCCTCAGCTGACTGCGTGATTCCATAGCCTTGATGGGAGGCGACATCTCAGCGCCTTGCGGGCTGGGCCTGGAGGGCCAGTCCCCGGGGGAATCGGCCACTGTGGTTTCTCTACTGGCATAAAGCTCTGGATTCTTGGGAACTGGCCTACTGACTTTCAGGTTTGGCTCGAGAAAGTGTTTTGTGGTGATAAAGGGCCAAAATAGCCCAGCGGCGGCTCAGGAAAGGGGACTCATTAACAGGGCTTTTCTTGTTTCCTTCAGCCCACTGACCTCAACTATTCATGTTGTTTTGGGACAACATTTTTTTAATAAAACAACAGATGTTACTCAAGAATTTAAGGTAGAGAAGTACATCATGCATCCCGACTACACAGTGTTCAACCCAACTGAAAGTGATATTGGTGAGTTCCTTTCCTGCCTTTAGTTCCATGTAAAGGGTAAATATCTAAAGTCCATTTATTGGATAAATACATACCTATTTTTTTCTCCCCCTCTTGCAGCTTTAGTTAAACTCCAGAGATCCAAGCAACACTGCGCAGTGAGATCCCGATTTGTTCAACAGATCTGCCTGCCAGAAGCTTCAATGTCCTTTCCAGATCATTATAAATGCCACATTGCCGGATGGGGACACTTGCGTGAAAGTAAGATATGACCATTGGGATGGCTACTGGGGAAACCAATTGCCCATGTAGCCAGGCGTTTCCGCCAGCACGAGGATGTTCACAATGATGTCTCTGCATCACATGGAGCTTTTATACAGCCAATTTTGTGAGGAGAGTCCTTTCTGTGCCCCAACTGACACATGGGTTGCTAAGGACCCCCCTTGGGTCCTTGAATTCACACCCCATATGGTTGGTGGGCGCATAGTTGTCCACCGCATTCCCTTTTGGCTTGCTTTGGGTGAGGGCTGGTGCAGGTACTGAGTCTGTAGAGCATTCCTGAGTAGGGATGCAAGGAGAGGAGAAGGGGTGCCTCATTTCGTGATCACTACTTACAGATGGGGGGGAGGATCTCAGAGCCAGAGGATCTAGATGGCTGCAGCCATCCTCAAGCCTCTTCCCCTCATCAGGTCTCTGGTTGCATGGCCTCTGATCCCCCTCCCTCCATGCTGATGCAGATGCTAAATGCCACCTTGACAAGATCGTCTCACTCATCCATGACTCAATCAGAGATGAAGGATCTAGCCTGGAGTGTTTCACTGGAACCTGGATGGGGGTGCCTGGTTGGCAATGGCTCCGTTGCACTCACCTGGTTTCCCATTACAGCCTCAGTCCAGCTTGAGGGAAGGGGGCAGAGGCTGGAGGAGCCTCTGGGGCCCACAGGAATATCCTCTTGTTCACCAGAAAACCCCTCTAAACTCAGATGGTCCTTGAGGAGCCCCTTTCCTTGGCTTGGCGCACCTCCTACCCTCCTGTCTTGGATGGGTTGGAAAAACCCAGGATTCTCAAAGGCTGTGGGGGATTTCCATAACCCAAAGCTCTCATCAGACCCTTGTGGACCTATGGCTTGGGGAACAGAACCCGCCACTGGCACCCTTACCCCTAAGGGCCCTCTTAGGGCCTGGGCTTCTCCCTGGTTCTGTGGGGAGCAATAAAACAGGCCAAGAGATAGGTACAGTGCAAGTGTGCAAAATGTGCCAGGGAAAGTGTGTACCAGACACACTTTAGGGCATGTAAGTGTGCCTCCTGCAAAATGGGGAGGGCCATTTCTAATGATTTCTGACCTAAGCACTTATGGACTCCCTTTCTCTGCTTTGCCACAGAGCTAAAAGTCCTTTTCATGTCCATCTGCTGCTCTGCAGAATTATTCTCTTTCTCTTCATTTGAGCAGATTCATCCAGCTACTCCAGCGTGGTGCAAGAAGCATTAATTCCGATTATCCCAGATTACAAGTGTCAGAACTCTGATGTTTACGGAGCTGAAATCAGTGAAAATATGTTCTGTGCTGGTTACCTTGATGGCAGGTCGGATGCTTGCCAGGTAATCCGGTTGGGTTTCTGTCTGAATTAACGGCGTGTGGGTGTGACAACGTAAGATCTTAAGGCCACTGCAGATTTTTTTTTTACTGTATTACAAAGCTACGTTGAGGTGATTGTATAGTTTTCCTATGGTCTGCCATTGCAATATTTTGTATTTTTTTCATTCCGAGCCTGGCCCACAGCCCTGGAGTTCCAGCTGGTCCTCCGTCCACAATAACCGGGTATCTCATGATGGCCATCGACCAATACAATAACGTGCAGAAGGATCAGGTTTTGGAGAAGTGAAATGAGCTTGAACTGAGCTCTTGCCTTAATAGCACATAAAAAAAAATTGGCAACTGTTTTAGTTACATTTGCGCTGACGTCTGGGAGGCAAGAGGGGACCCCAAATAAATCGCTCCTCCCCAGGAGCCCGGGCGGTTCCACGCACCCCTCCTGACCTCCTGCCAGTCTGCTCTGGGCGGGGGGGTTCTTTTTTCTTTTTTCTTTTTAAATAAGTCTTTATTGGCTTATAAAATTTAACACACACAAATACCCAACAAACATAAAATGAGAAGAGCAAATACAGATAGAAAAAGAAAATAAAAACCCTAAAGATCAACACCACACAACCACAAAAAAAAAAAGAAAGAAAGAAAGAAAAAAGAAGAGAAAAGAAAAGAAAAGGAAAAGAAAAAGAAAAAGAAACACAAAAATTTTTAA